CTGTCTGTCATAAGAAGCTGTAGTGAAGAACCCATTGCTGGAAACTAACGGAGATGGTACAGAGTTATTTCTCCACATTAATCTCTATATTTGTTAGAAGATCAAAGGATTTCAGAGGATGGGGATGAACAAATGGGATCAAGTTATAAGGGAGTGTAAGGAAGTAGTAGATTAATGTTAGTAAACTTGTTTGATTGGAAGAGTCTGTGGTAGCAATGAAAATTTGTAATGAGTGTATTTTCACAAATTGTACATTTTGGTATTAACAGGAGTGGTTTTTTGTTCTACACAATTTCTGCAGGTGACATACCAGATTATGTGCAAGGTATTAGAGCTGCAAGGCTTTCTGCTTTTTACAAATCTATTTTTGTCTTGGAGTAAAAATGCATCTTGAACATGTGTTCAGCTTAATGTAAATGGCTAATTTGATAGCTGGGAAATTTCAAAACTGTTCCTTTCTTCTAGGAAACACACATCATTCACTCTTTCAAGGAGGACTTCTATGGAGAAGATCTTAGTATAATTATTCTTGGCTACATAAGACCGGAAAGAAACTTTGATTCTTTAAGTAAGTTTTGAATGCTCTCCTAAAAGCTTTGTAGTTCTCAAGTGATACCTGCAATGACCTTGGCTTCTGTTTGTCAAGCTGGCCCAACCTATGCAATATTGTGTCTTCTGTCTTCCATTTTAGTGAATTACCAAAAGTAATCTGCTTTATGGAATATTCAGTGTGTCATACACAATGGTGGACTGTTGTAGTTGCACCCTTTTCCCTGCCTGGGCCTTTCCAGGAAGTAGTAGTTTCCTTTATAAATGCTAATTTAGAACAGTGAATAGACTATGAACAGAAACCAGCAATCTATCTAACCCATTTTTGCCCAGAGGGCACACACCCGCAAAAGCCCACTCACCTTTCTGAGATTTTACTTCATGATTTCATTTATGCTGACACCAAACACGAAACAGGAGATCTCGCCAATAAGTTGGCTAGTGTGCTGAGAAGGCAATGTAGATATCATGCAGGAGCTCTTTTGCACACACTTGGGCTGTGCGCCAGATTATATACCTGTAATTTCAGCTTTCTATCCCTTGCTGGTCATTGGCCCAGATCCTTCATGATAGGGGTGGTTCTACCTCCTTGAGAGAGAAGGATCTTTTTCTCCTGGACTGTCTCCCTGGCATCTGGCGTATCTCCAGTTAGCTGCCCTGTCCTCAGTCCTCAGTGAAATTATGTTCATGTCTACTCCATATGTTCCTTTAACATGCCTGTGTCCTAATAGATATGTGTACATCTGAGGTAACATTGAAGCAAGCCTTTGACACAGAGAATACAGAAAGAATAGGGCAAAGCATCAAAAATGGCTATGAACCAAAGATGGTTCAGTGCTCTAAATTAATTCAGAAATTCTAAGCCGGGGTTGTTGCTAACACTACACGCAAAGCATATGGTCTACCATTGAGCCATGGTTGCTTCTCAAGGTTGCTATTCCCAAGAACTGAACCTTTACGTAGCAGAGATCTTGGGTGTTCTGTCGGGATTACGGTATCTCTGCTGAGATAGCTGTTGGAGGGAGGCATTTATTCAAGATCATACCTCTGTCCTGCACTGTACTGAAGTGACTTTATTTATAAGCAGAAAACTAGTTTGAGGGCCATCTTTTTTCATTCTTTGGATGAGTATTGTAAAAGTGTATAATGTTTCCTTCCTGCTCTTTGAGACAAATTGCTTGAACGGGTACAGTGAATGTGTGTATGTGTGGGGAATCAAGAAAGTTACGACTAACTGGAAGTGCTGTACATTCCTAGCCGATGATTCTCCATTTGCCACATCACACCAGTGACTGTTCTTTATTTGTTTTCTTGTGATATTTTTGAAGCAACATTTTCCTTATTTTTTGTCTAGAAGCAGTTTGTGAAATGGTTATATATTTTTATTTTCCTTCTTTTTAGGTGCACTCATAGCAGCTATTCACGGCGACATTGAAGAAGCCCAAAAAAAACTAGACTTGCCAGAACATCAGAAATACAAAGATGACAACTTTTTTTCACATGCTGGGAGGCAAAATAGTTAACAGTCATTGAGTTAGGCTGCCTTATGTATCTTAATTGTAACGGTTTAAATTGCACTGATCTTCTAACAATTATCCTTATTTAGAGAAAGATGGTGTAACTCAGTCCTCTATGGTTTAGTATTTTCTGCCTGTATTAGAGTTAAATTAAAATGGTCAGACAACCACATGGCGCCACACTAAGTTCTTCTCTCACACCCACCCACACCCAAATAGCATATTGTTACTGGGCATGTTGGAATCTGCGCAAAGATTTCATTGCATGTGTTGCAATATGTATAAAGTGTTGTTATTACTAGCTTTTCTGAGGCTGGGCAACAGTTGGTCCCCTAAACTTGGGGGCACAAGTCCTTTCAAAACCCTTTTAATAATAGCTGCCTAGTCTCCTGAATTAAATTCGGTTTCTGATTTTCAAGGTCAAAGTAGTTATGTTTCTTGAAGAGAGGGGAAACCCAAGAGAAATGTAGATGTAACACAAATAGTTTTATTGGCTTATTCAGCAAGGTGTTATTTTTGGATCTTAGGTTTGTAATTGTCAGAAGTATTTCTGAAGATAGGTAGTGCTTACTAACTGCCCATGATTCTAATAGTGAGTGTACTAGTCCTGATTTCAAGGGGAGTGTTTTAATCTAGAAATATTATTTAAATTATAAGTCTTGTCTAAAACTTCAAATATAGTTGTTTTGATTCATGGAATGATGGAATGTCTCATTCATCGAATCTACTTGATACAGCATTGATAGAATACTTATTCAAATAATTATTCAGATCTAATAAGAGCTACCTTTGAATTAGCTCTTTATTCTCCGCGGAAGAAGTGGCAAGCACATGTCTGGGAATCACTGGGGATAATGGTTAGAATGTCATACCTGTACCAGGGAGATAAAGGTTAAATTCCCCACACTGCCAGGAAACTCATTGAGTGACCTTGGGCTAATCACAGTATCCTGACTTAATCTACCTCATAGGTTCTTTTGAGGTGAAACAGGATATGGAGAATCACGTATGCTGCTCTGAACTCCTTGGAGGAAGGGTGGAAGAAAATGTAATAGATGGACCTACTGTGTTCTTTGCTATTACAAGAAATGTTATTCTAGGTGCAATGACTTAAGAAAAACTGATTAGCAGTACTGCCAGTTTTGGA